AGCTCAGTGTTAAAAACAAAAACAAAAACCTCAATACTAGACCAGTTGGGAAAGTGTATGCCAGGGTTGTATTCTTTAAACACATGTATTCAATCTATATGCTGAGAAAATGATATGAGAAGCTAGATTATATGAAGAAGAACATGGCATCAGGATTGGAGGAAGATTTCTTAACTACCTTGTATATGCATTTGATACAACCTTGCTTACTGAAAGTGAAGAGGTCATAAAGTACTTACTACTGAAGATCAAGGTTACAGCCTTCAGTAAAGGTTGCATGTCAATGTAAAGGAAACAAAAATCCTCACCACTGGAGCAATAAATAACAAGATAAATGGAGAAAAGATTGAAGTTGTTACAGACTTCATTTTGCTTGGAATAACAATGCACACTCATGGGAGCAGCAGTCAAGAAATCAAATTAGGCAAATCTGCTGTGAAAAGTGTTAATAAGCAGAGGTTAGTTTGAGAACAAAGGTGTATCTGACCCAAGCCATGGTATTTTCAATGCCCTCATATTTACTGGAAAGTTATGAAGCTTGGTGAAGTGGAGGGACAGCTAAAGCCCTGACAAGATGGATGACACAAAGGCAGCAACCATGGGTTCAAAGGTTAACGACGAATGTGAGGTCAGCACAGGACTGGTCAGTATGTGCATAGGGTAGTTATAAATTGGAACTGACTTGAGGGCACCTCACAAAAACAACAACTAATAGGGACAGCCAGAAGAACAAACAAATCTGTCTTTGACAAACTGTAGCCAGAATGCTCCTGGATAAGGTTTTCAAGGAATGGCTGATAGGTTTGACCTGCCAATCTTATGGTTAGCAGTCCAGTCCTTATCCTACAGCACGACACATTAGTAACGCTAATTACATCTTCTCTGTGTTTATCTTTTTCTCTTCTTATTTTTGCTATTCAAATGCTTTAAAAATAGAACTCCCTATTTTTGGCACCTAAGTATGTTAAAATGTTAAGTACATGTTTACAACTGTTTTCCAGAATCAGATCCAGATCTAGGCAGACAAACAAGACAGGAAGTGAGTCACTGGACATGTTGTTCAGGAGAATCAAACAACAAACAGCTTCTATGTGAAACAGCCTAACCACTGACCAAAATATGCCGCTAGGCACAACCAAAGGGGCACGGTGGCTCCAGAGACTAAGCACTGGACTGCAAACCACAAGGTTAGCAGTTAGAGTCCGCCAGTCATTCCAAGGGAGAAAGATGAGGCCTTCTGAACCCACAAAGATTTAAACCCTTGAAAATCCTACACTGGGTTGCTATGAGTTGGAACTAACTCGATGGCACTTAACAACACCACCACCACCAATTGACATACATACATATATATATACGTATGCTGTTAACTGCTGTTGAGTCAGTTCTGACATAGCCATCCTGTATAGGGTTTCCAATAAGGAGCTCTGGTAGCGTAGTGGTTCCGAATCGGGCTGCAAACTTTAAGGTCAGCGGTTCGAAACTACCAGCTGCTCCGTGGGAGAAAGATGAGGCTTTCCTACTCCCGTAAAGATTTACACCCTCGGAAACCCTGTACAGGGTCGCTATGGGTCGGAACCAACTTGACGGCACTTAACAACAACAACAACATAGGGTTTCCAAGGAGCGGCTGGTTGGTTTGAGCTGTCAGCCTTTTGGTTAGCAGTTAAGAGCTGTTGAGTTGGTTCCAACTCATAGCAACCCTGTATAGGGTATCCAAGGAGTGGCTAGTGGGTTTAAACTACAGATCTTGGCATTAGCAGTTCAATTCTAATCCTACAGTTCTGCATCAGCCAGGACTCCTCCTTTATACATGAAGTCATATATATAAGGAGCTCTGGTAGCATAGTGGTTATGAATCAGGCTGTGAACCTTAAGGTCAGCAGTTCGAAACTACCAGCTGTTCCATGGGAGAAAGATAAGGATTTCTGCTCCCATAAAG